GGGGGGGGGGGGGAGGGACAGGAGGGGGGGTTCTTAAAAGAATAACCTGTCACCACCCACCTTCATCAGTACCTAACCCTTCCAGGGGCCCATATCATCCTGCCTTACCGGTACCCGAACCCCCAGATCTCTTTTAATCATTATTTTGTATTCACCTAGATTTGAACACCTGATCTCTGACTTCATAGTCCACCCTTGTCTCCACTACGCCATGTAGTGGATCGTTGCAAATTTTCTTTTATTTAGTTGTCTAATAAGGTGTTGGTCTCAGATTCGCTCTTCCACTTTGATGAAAATTAAACTAGTTTGAAATCTAGATCATCCCAAATGAACACACCCCTCATATGCCAAGAAATTTAAAAAATCAAAATTTGTCATCCAATTCTGGTAAACACAGAGCAGACTGTGCATCACCTTAGTCTACAGAAAAATCATGCCACATTTCAGGAGTTTAATTGGCATGTTGTTCATTACAGTCAAAAAGGAAGGTCAGAATGGAATCATTTCAAGTATTGCATTCAGTCAGGACAACTCTGGGATGTATGCTTTGGGCTCCTATTCAAAATCAGGTTTGAATTTGAATTGACAAATTAAGTTAACGAGAAGTAATAGATAAATTAACATTAACTAATGGAGGGTGTGGTGGCCATGTGGATAGTGCGCTGGACTGCGGATTATGCAGCGTGGGTTCATTGACCAGGTCTGGGTCACTGTGACATGATCTTAAGCAAGACACTACTCTTAGTGTCACTCTACACCCAGGTGTATGCATGAGTGGGTAACCTTGTTATGGAATAGAATCCCATCTAGGTGTTAGTAAAAATACACCAGATTTACTTGTTTATGGCTTCAGAAACTGTGATAACCTCTATTGTGTGTGAATGCTTTCATTCATCAGTGGAGTCACAGATGCCAGGGATGAGGCCATAAGGAAATTTTTGCAAGAGGCAAAGCTGCAAAGGAAAAGTCCATACTTTGTTGCTTTTAGCCATTGTGACAACATGTACTATTTGCAAAGTTAAACGAATTAGCTCTAATAAATTTTCCTCTTCTTAACCATCAGTTGGAGTCTACTCAGATTCAGATGGTGAGCTAATTTTTCTCCTCCAAGGACAGCAGGGTGGGGTCACTCATGTCATGTTCTCCCCAGATGGGACAAAGCTATATAGTGGCGGCAGAAAGGTACATGTAGGCAAACCTGCCTGAACCAAAGCTCAGTTTTTTGTATAAACCCCACAGCATTGACACTCTGTTAATGCAGCTAGTCAGAGTTTGTTTGCGGATTGGTCCAGATTTACAGTTTTCATTGCCTTTTTAGTCGGCTGGATTCTTTAATGAGATCTCTAGAGGCAAGAGCTCTCTAGAGCCAAGTACTGTACTGTCCTTGGGCTTGCTACTTTACTCCTGAAGGGTTTTTCTGAGGGGCAACATGACAAAAATGCTGGGAAGTTCTGTGTAGCTAGCATCCCATCCTGGGGGACTGGCAACAATTCTAGATGCGTCATGATACAAAAACTAGTAAGAATTATGTAGTAGGCACTCGCTGTAGACCGATGTTAACTTCCTGCAATAATAAAGGTATGCACTGATCTCTCTGAATGTTAATCTGAAGCACTTTTTTTAACAGGATGATGAAATTATATGCTGGGATGTGCGAAATCCTGGAACAGTCCTGTACTGTATGATGCGCTCAGTGGACACCAACCAGAGGGTGTATTTTGATATTGACAGGTATAAATCAATCATAACAGATGCACTTTCATACAGTTGACACCACACAGTCTGGCTAATGTTCAATAGTCAATAGATTGAGGAATATCGACATCTTAAGTCCCCTCCAAACAGGAATAAACTATCACCAAGTGTTTGAGGCACAGCAACAGGTGCTTCAATTTGAGCCAGGGTGGGGTCACTATGTTGTACTCTTCAAGACCAAGACACCACTCTCACAGTGCATGTCGCTCTTAACAACCCAAGACAAAAGCAGATAGGAAAGTTTTGCACAATACATCACAATTACATCAAGTTTGGAAAATGGAAATAATTAAAAAGCATAGAAAAATGTCTTAAATTTCGTATGAAATTTAATACAGAAACTGCAGTAAAGAGCCAGCTGTTCTGACCACTGACACTGTATACTGTGCTAATATTCATTATTATATATATTGTATTAATATCCATTATTATGTATGCTGTACTAATATTCATTTCGTAGGACTGGACAATACATAATCTCTGGCAATGCCGATGGTTGTGTTTCCATTTGGGATTCTACACTTCCTCCTCTCAATGACGACACAACAAAAGAAGCTACACTACAACCTGTCATGAAGTTTGTGGCTCATGGGGACTTTGTAAATGGTGCCAGGTATGATAATCCTTTAAGTCTCAAAAGTCATGACCAGTACATAATAGTATTGAAACACTGCTGTTCTTCTAACATTGGTCAACATGAGCACAAAGTGATCTGGCCTTTGTTGAAGAGAAAGGAAGTGGTAATTTAAGAACAGATGTTCCCATTTCAGACAATTTAGAAATCTGGTCTGAAACTGGGGATGGGTTTAAGGGCATATTCATGTAAATGTTTCTCTCTTTTCACCAGTTCACTTCATCCAAAAAGAAAAGTCAGCCGTCAAAATATAATTAATCTGACACAATAGAGAATGATTCAGGACATTAAGATACACACTCAGGTGACCTTTGCCTAGAAATGGATATGGAAAGTGAGGTACCTGTATTTTGGTCCAAAGAAGGGTCAGTGTTTGGGGAGCCAGGTGCCACACCCCACCAAAAAGACAAGGAGTACCACCTAGAGGGGGATGAACTGTCACATTAATTTAGTTGCCATGGAAACTGTACGCATGCATGGTTGGCAAGAATGTTTCAAGTTTGGGAATGGGTGTTAAATTTTAAGATATTTGGACTTCTTTTTTTAGTTTCCACCCCAGCCTTCCTCTACTGGCCACAACCTCTGGGCAACGCCAGTTTGAAGAACCTGGGAATGACAGTGATGATGAAAACACAATGGACCAGGACATAGTGGCACAAGTTGATAATTCACTTAGGATCTGGGCAGCTGGCACAAGTGTAAAATGAGAGCAACTCTGAGGCTGCTAAGAGTGAATTAGGAGACTAAAATGTACTTCAAGTTAAAAATCTGTAACAAAAGTAACAGCAAGAAGTACAAGGCTGCTTAGAGACTGGCTCTTTCCTGTGTGAAATTTACAGACAGCAGTGTTAAGCAAACTGTGACGACAGGTACACACAGAGGACCCAACAACTGGGAAAAGATTGTCCTTTTTGGAAATATATCCTCAGATATACTATTATGTATATAGCTTGTCCCACCGACATCTCCAAATAGTGCTTGCCATACAACCACAGTGTAAGAGACTCCAGAATGTAACCTCCAGCGTTTAGTTATTAACATTCAGGCAGCCATTTACTGTGTAGTGTCACTCAGTTGACTTTCCCAGCAAGGGTTTCCTAACTCATTATTTTTCACAAAGTTTAGTACTGGGACTTGTAAAGTGAAGATTCTTGTAACAGACACCAATCGCTGGTTCCAGCAGACTGTGTTTGTTTGCATGTTGAAACCAATCAACTGCAAGTATGACAACAGTACACCCAAGTTGAAATTAGAGGACAGAGAAAACACGCTTGACTCAATCAATGTGAACAGCTCACTCTCTATAATATGTGTATCCTGGAATTCCCTGAGCCAGCCTGTCTTCTAATGAAAATGTTTTGTGGTGCTTGGTTTATGACTGCATTGTGGCCATTCAACTGTTAACTGATGGTGGTTGCTGTCTGACAGTTGACAACCACTTTTTGGGTAGAGGTGGAGAGGGGGCTGTTCTTCCCTTTCAGTGACCTTTCAGTCCAATAAAATGAGCAATAAAATATTAGAACTATTTATTAATAGCAAATTGTCTTATGCAAGAAGTACAGTATGTAGAAGGCCAGTGTGTGTTTTGAAACTATTTGAAACATATAATTATAATTTGTGAATCTAATGGATGTAAAATAATAAATTTGTCCCAAGTTAACCATCACTATCACAGCTCTTGTTTCAACTCCATTGTCAACATACAAATTCTCCATACAGGTTTCCATTCACTTCTTATTGTGCTAGTCTAGTTGAAAAAAAAAAAACGTTTTAAATAAAATAGTTTCTCGTCATTGATCAATTCTTAAATCTCTACACTTGAATGCTTGTTTAGGTATTGGCACTTAATAAGGAGAATCACAAGTTGATCACTTGTTACTTTGTCAGCCAGAATACAAGGTCCTGATTGCACTTGCATTTACATGTAACACCTTTACTTGAAGTGTTAGAAACCTTTGTCATTCAGACATGTAATTGCACTCAAAATTAACTTGATGTAAGCAGAAACCCTGAAAATGGTCTACATAGGACAGATTTACACATATGGTAGGCTTCAAATGAAGTGTTTCTATGTAGCTGGCTGCATGAACGAGTAGTCCCTCTTTCGTTTAGTTTGTCGTGTATTGATCAAAAAGAAAACCACGAGAAAAAATGGCCGTGCGAACTCCTGGGGGTTTCACGCGGCCATTTTTTCCCCGCGGTTTATTTGGGGTCTCACTTGACAGACTAAGTGAAAGAGGGACTACTCATAGTCCTGTGTAATCACAGGATATGTCTATTAGCATAGGAGTGACTGTACAGGGTGATCTTTGCTTACATCACTGTTTACACTTTTCCACACTAACATATGACTTTGTGCAGAGAAGGCATTATGCCAGATACAAATTGACCCCAAACATTTAAAGAGCTGGTAAAACTTAGTAACTGGATACATTTTTGGCTTTTTGGGTGTAATATTTAATGCGAAACTGCAAAATGTCTGGGTGGGAAAATTTTGAGTTTCTAAACCTGTGTTGCACAAAAAAAGTACTCAATACAACAGGCTCAAATTCCTTGGGACAGTCAATAAAAATTGATAGTTCTGTAGCTTGATCAGATCTGAATCATTAATTTTATGACAATGGGGCAATTTTTGGGAACAAAGATTCCCCTCTAAGAACAAAAGAATTCACGGTTCTAAGTAGAACTTCCAAAACTATAATTTGTTCATTTGTGATGTTTGAAAGTAGCAAGATCTGCATTGTGTAGATCACACTACTTTTAAACATGACAATTCATCAGTTGTTGTTTCTATCCTTCAGGAAGTGTTATAGAAACAGAAAGTGCAGAATAAAACTATTGACAAGGAAGTTAAATCCTTGATGTCATCTTCCAAGTTCAAGTTCTTGTATTTCCTTTATTAGAGATTCCTCTGCTGCTATTTTGTCCATCTGCAAAACAGTCCCAGAAAATAAGTAAGTAAAATAACTCACAGGTTGTAAATGTTTAGCTATAACTGCTTTACTAATTAAAAACCAATGATTTATTAGCTGAACCCTCCAAGTGAATTGTTATGAGTAACACTTTCACATACTTGACTTGTAAAATCAAGCTTCAAAGGTGTTATCTAAGTTAAATTTTCATGTTTGACTGACAAGGTAAAGAGCTGGGATATTAATGTCACTGCACCCTGTTTGTAAAAAGAAACCACAAGACAAGGATACTTTCAAATCCATCCCTGGTACTCACTTGTACATATTACTCTAATATCTGACCTGATTTTTCTCTAGTATTTTTCCTGATTTCTGTTGTTCCTTCAGGTCTTCAATTTGCCGCAGTTTCTAAACCGGAATTCAGTAAAAGAAATATAGTACAACATTGTACTAGGTTAGGGGAAATACACTGAATAGAAGGAGCAAATTCAATTCCAAAAGTGACTCAATTTGATTTCTATTAATAGCAAGCTTTTACAAAACATGCCTCTGAGTGTCTTAGATGAGAATCTCATTCAGTGGCAGATCTAGGGGAGGGGCCTGGGGGGCCAGGCCCCTCCTTATTTTGTGTAAAAAATGAAGAAATCACAGAAGGAAGAAAAGCCTGCACGGCAAGCAGAAGAACCCCTCCCCATTAGCTCAAGGTCTGGATCTGCCACTGTAGATGCTACTAAAATGGGGATAAGCTGTGGTGGCATGGGACACTTTGGCCCAATGTCAAAGTATGTTTACAATCACCAGATTGCTACTAACAGAAGCAATATGTCTTCTCTTTCATAGCTATCCCAGGACCTAAAAAGGTAGGTTATATATTTCAAATACATAACTTCAGGCATTCGTGGGTTAATTTTATTACCATAGCACAGTTATTGCCAGACAAATGCTGGTTTGCTCTCCTCTTTACTAGTGATCTCAAAATAGTTATTTTACTCTTAGAATTTGATTTCTTTCTCCCATTACCTAATATTACTTGCTGGATTTTCTATAAGCTAAAGGTTTTGACATTGTACTTCTTTTTGTTTCAAACTTTTTATTCTCCTGTATTATTTTCACTTAGACCATTTGGGAAGGAGGTATGTACAAGCTGGAGTTGTCATTTCCCGAGGATTACCCATTTTCACCTCCTAAATGTAAGTTTCCAGTGGCTCAAGCTATATTTTGTTATAACTACACAACTGTCACTAGCTGAAAACCTTGAAGAGCCTATTTTCAGGATCTGTCAGGTGGTGCCGAAGTTCATGTACATGTAAATAACCAACGAGTTCTTCACAAGTTCGTGCCCTGCACTGTTTTTTTTTTTTTTTTTCAATTTTACATGCATGTTTGTTCATTATGATGTCCTCGCTAAATGTAGCTCTGTGCTCTGTCCCTGATGTGTCAACTGTTATGTCATTAATAAAATTTAATGAAGATAATTGTCTTATTTCTCTTAGGTGTGTTCAATCCCATCATCTTACATCCAAATGTGTTTCCCTCCGGCAAAGTTTCCTTGTCACTGATTGACAAGAGTAAAGGCTGGAAGCCACAAATCACCGCTAAAGAGGTAATAATTAATTTTTTGGTCACACACAGTATGCTTTGAATGTTTGTTAAAATAACAATATTTTTTCAGGTACTCCTTGGTATTCAGCTGTTGTTAGGTGAACCTAATTTCCAGGACCCAGCTCAGGCAGAAGCTTATGTAGTTTATTGGTAAGGAAAATTATTCGTCTCCCATGAATATTAATATTCAACATACAAGACAGTCCACTTGAATTTGTCTCTTTATGTTCCATATGTAACTGGTGTTTATGACTTTATGGACACAGCATGTAAATGACCATAATCATTCATTTTAACTCAGCTAGGGGAATCTAGGGGGGTTTGGGGGGACATTACAACACACTGACTTGGTCTCAGATTGCTGGAAATCCCTTTGTTGAGGATTTGCTGAGGATGATAAAAAAATTTCTGGGGGAGGATGACCCCAGACTCCCCTACAAGGGACTACCTTTCCTGGTAAGGATCTCAAACCCCCTTTCTTAAAATCCTGCTTCTGCCCCAGCTCAGGATCCCATTTTTTTTTACCACACCCCCCAATCCCCTCCAGCCAACCAACTATGGAGCTGAAGGTTTCCTTTCCTGATTACCTGTACTATCAACTCTCTTTAACTTGCAGCCAAAGCCGGATGGAATACGAAGAAAGAGTTAAGAAGCAAGCAAAAGAGATGGCTCCTAATGGACTAGGATAAAACTAACCACAATATTAAACATATTAAAGAACAAGAGAAAATGATAATTATTAAGAAACTATTGTAAGAGTAGAGGAAATAGCAGCAGCTGTTTCATGATCTGGCAGTGCTCTATAGGCTCAGTTTCTGCCACTCCCTCCAGTCCCATCCTGTTCCTCCTCTACTGGAGAGGATTGGGGAGTTCTTTTGCCAAACAGTGGCTGGCAATCATACCCATATACTCTAAGGCTACAAGACTTCCTGCTACCTTTAAATTTGTTTTAATGTCGGTTCTAGTAATGTGGTGTTAC